CACTTCCCCGCCCACCACAACTCCTTAGTCCAGTTTTAAACGAAAAATAAAATATGCGGGTGTCAATTGGATTTTTTGTCGGTCCATCGTGGAACCCCCTTCTCACAAGCAAAAGCGCATCGACCCCTGGTCGTGGCGTTTTCCACTCCCCAAGAAAAATAAGCCTCAGCAAAAAGCGGGACGCTCCCAACGGAGCTAGGGCGTCTCCGATGAGAAGGGCCCCCACAGTAAAACATTCCCACCAGCAATGGACACCCAAGGCAGAAAATGGACGCCCCAACAGAACAGAGGAGTTCCCGTTTCCCAGCTCTTTTGGTTACATATGTGCTTGTGAAATGTGTGTCGCGTGATACCATTTAGGATGTTATCGAAATAAAATAAGTATGCACAATGTTAAGCGAATACCAAGAAGCTCGCTATTGAAACTTCACATAGCGTTATATTAGTACAAACGATCGTTACTCAGTCATTTTAAGCAAAGAAATGCATAAATGAGAATCTGCTGCCAACATTTACTGATACACTTCGAATATAAGGACAGCATGTATCAGTGCACATTGGCCGTTTTCACGACGGGCTATCCGGCGTGTGCACCTAATTTGACCAAATCTGCACCTAATCTCTTTTACAACAAATACATATCTGTATTTTATGAATTTATTTCAGTGTTTTCATCGATGATACTCTCTGATAATACCACAAAGCAGGCATATAAGCAGGGGTGGATTTTTATATTAAGTTGGGGTTGCACGTGCAACCCCAACTTTGAATTTTGCAACCCCAACATCGGTTTGTGCAACCCCAACTTTACAACTGAAATAAATCGGCGGGCGCCTCGAATGGTGCCGCCCCCATAACCCTGAGCCATCACAAAACTCTATGCCACCCGTTGACTTGGCACCATCTTTCAAAAGAGCCCTCCCCATCATAAAGCAATAGTCACCCCTCAACTATCTATTGTAGTTGCCGCCTCCTCAGACCTCAAATGTAGGTGCCGCTCCCTCGAATGTAGGTGCCGCCCCCTCGAATGCAAGTGCCGCCCCTCGAATGTAGGTGCCGCCCCCTCAAACGTAAGTGCCGCCCCCTCCAATGTAGGTGCCGCCCCCTCGAATGTAGGCGCCGCCCATTAAATGTAGGCGCCACCCCCTCGAATGTAGGTGCCACCCCCTCGAATGTTGGTGCCGCCCCTCAAATGTACCTAAATGCCGCCCCTCGAATGTAGGTGCCGCCCCCTCGAATGTAAGTGCCGCCCCCTCAAATGTTAGTGCCGCCCCCTCCCTCGAATGTAGATTCCGGCCCTCCTCGAATGTAAGTGCCGCCCCCTCGAATGTAGGTGCCGCCCCCTCGAATGTTGGTGCGAGAATGTGGGTGCCGCCCCCTCAAATGTAAATGTCATCCCTCGAATGTAGGCGCTGTCTCCTCGAATGTAGGTGCCGCCCCCTCAAATGTTAGTGCCGCCCCCTCGAATGTAGGTGCCGGCCCTCCTCGAATGCAGGTGCCGCCCCCTCGAATGTAGGTGCTGGCCCTCCTCGAATGTAGGTGCCGCCCCCTCGAATTTAGGTGCCGCCCCCTCGAATGAAGGTGCCGCGCCGCCCCCTCAAATGTCGGCCCCGGCCACTTATGCATAGGTGTCATCGGTCATCCCATAAAATGTAGGTGCCGTCCCTTCGAATGTAGATGGCACCCCCTAGGGTGTAGCTGCCGCCCCCTAAGGCCTAGTTGCAGTGCAGCCCCCTCAAATGTAGGTGCCACCCCCTAAGTGTAGGTGCCACCCCTTGAAAGGGGTGCCTTTCCCTCACATGTAGATAGATGCCGCCCCCCCATGCGTGGGTGCCGCCCCTCAAGTTTGTGTGCCGTCCCTCAAGTTAGGGTGCTGCCCATAAAATGTAGGTGCCGCCCCCTCTAAGTGTAGGCGCTGCCGCCTCAAGTGCAAATGCCATCGCCGCCCCCTCTAATGTAGGTACAGCCCACCGCTAAAGTAATGTGTGGTTTTACCAATCTCAATGGATGGCTTTGACTGTCGATTTTTTAATGCGGAGTGATCGAAAAGAAGACGTCAATAGATAAAGTTGCAGCTGCAAGGACAACGATACAGGCTAGCTACATTCAAAGTTTCATGGTGGTCTGGCTAATCATTCCTAAGCTTCAGAAGCAGAACATACCCAGGACTGAAACCGCACATTACTTATGCTGTGGACTGTACTACCCTCCTCTCAAGAGCTTGAGCTGTCACAAGGCCGTATAGAGCTGTCGGACATGCAAAAATGACCAGTTAAAAAATCGTGGATTTCGATTCCTGGTGCGCCGCTCACCGCTCAGTGGGGGGTGGGGGTGGTGCCCAGTGGAGGTCGCAGGGGGCATCAGGGCCATGGCCCCCCAAAGACAAATCAGGGGCCATCATATAATTTGCCCCCTTAAACAACCGATGGGCCTCGATGGGCGTAGGGGCCCTGGCTCTTACCCGATTGTCACGAGGCTCAAGAAACCAACGCCAGGTATTATGTAACAGCCCTCATACCGGTCTTTGAGTTTCCTGACTTCTGAGGGCGCTTCAGTGGCCTTCAAGGGCCCACATCGACCTCTCAGGGCCCTCCACTGGCCCTAAAGCGGCATCAGGAGTCCCCCAACCGGCCTTTGAGGGCCCCACACTGATCTCTTGATGGCCTCATTTCTGTCTCTGGGGTTCAGGACTGACCTTTGGGTGCCGGTCACTAAGAGCCCACATCGACCTCTGTGGGCCTCAAACTGGCCTTTGAGGGCCCTGTACTGGTCTCGAGCGCTCCCAAGTAGACCCAAACTGGTCTCTGGGGGTTCACGCCTCTAATGGCCTCATTTCTTTTTCTGGGGGCCCAAGACTGGCCTTTGGGTGTCCCCGAGGGCCGTACTGACTTCTGAAGGCCCGATGCCGGTCTCTAAGGGTCCACATCGGCCTCTGAGGGCCCTATGCTGACCTCTGGGGTCCAACACCGACCCCTGCTGGTCAGCGGTCAGCGGCTGGGGTCAGCGGGCGCGGTTGGAATGTGGACCAGTCTTGTTTGAGACACAATGCAAGCGGGAGCCCTACTGTCGCTTATAACAGGCCCCACACTGGACTCTGAGGGCCCCAAACTGGCCTCAATGGGCCCCAGCCGGTCTATGGGGTCTCTACACCGCCACTGATGGCCCTATTATGGTCTCTGGGGTGTCAGGTTAGTCTGGTCCCTGAGGGCCCACATCGGCCTCTGAGCCTGGGGCCCCATACAGGCCTTTGAGGGCCAATACTGGTCTTTGAGGGCCCTACACCGACCTCTGAGGGCCCCGAATCGGGCTTCTCTGAGGGACCCACACTAGCCTCTGATGAACCCATTCCGGTCGCTGGGGGCTCAAGATTGAACTTTGGGTGCCTCGCACTGGGCTCTGAGGGCCCACATTGACCTCCGAGAGCTCCACACTGGCCTGTAAGGGATCATATTGGGCTGGCCTCTGATGACCAAATGGTTTTGGAGGGCCAGTACAGGCCAGTGGCCACTCAGGGTCCCAATTCCAAACCGGCTTTTGAGGGCCATAACCGGCATCTGATGGACCGAACCGGACCCTGGTGGCCCAAAACAGGTCTCAGAGGGCCCCGCACCAGACTCTGAGAGTCCCATCTTTAGTCTCTGTGGTCCAAGGAAAAACTTTTGGCGTTTCATGCCGTCCTCCGAGGTTCCCTGTCAGTCTCTGTTGGTCCCCATGCCGGAATTTCGGAATTTGAGGGCCGTTATCTCGTCGCAGCGGGCCGGCATTAAGGTCTATTACCATATCGGGGTCACATCGGTTTCTGAGGGCCCATGTCTGCTGCCAAGGGTCCCTGGTCTCTGATAGTTCCATTTAGGTCTTTGAGAGCCCGGGCCAAACCCATCATAGGCGCCTCATGCTATCTTCTTATTCTCTGCCGATCTCGGAGGGCCCCTGTCGATCTGCTTGGCCCGTGCAGGTTTTTAAGGGCGCTGCTAGTCTCTGAGAGCCCCATGTCGTTAGTTGTGTCTATTTTGGGTCGCATTGGCACCACACATGTCTCTTAGGGCCCATACCAGTCAAGGGGTCCCACATTGACCTCTCAAGGACCAACGCTGGCCTCAAGGGCTCACACCACCTCAGAGGTTCCGAACTGGCCTTTGACGACCCCGCACTGGCCTTTGATGACCCCGGGCCTGCACTGACCTCTGATGGCTCAAGCAGGTCTCGTAAGACCCATGTTGGAGTTCAAAGACCCATACTGCTGTGCGAGGTCTCACCCGATTTATGAGGGTCAATCTCAATACTGGCCTTAAATGATCTTACGCCGGGCTTATATAAGGGTCTCATACTGGTTTCAGAAGTTTTCCGCTACTTACGAAAAACTTCAGGGGGAGGGGGCGGATATTCGCCCCCCCCCCCCTCCGCGGTACGCGGGTTAAGCTAACATACCGCCCCCCAGCGAGGGTCTACAGGGGCCCCTTTGCCAATTCACCCCCCCCCCAACGCCAAGTTTACGACCGTACCTGGTGGCGCCCACTTCCGGACTATTGCGCCCCTCGGAACCGCTTTGGGCGCCCTTTCAGGGCTGTGCAACCCCAATAAAAAACAAAAAAATCCACCCCTGCATATAAGTAATTAGTGCAGCACTAGCTGATAGCTATAGCTGTTCCATATCAAGCTTGCAGTTGGAGTTTCTTCGGCAGATCGCTCCTCCGCTCAAGAATTCGCGTCTTAAAATGTAAGAGCTGTATATACAGAAATCACGCACTGCTTTCAGCAGGGCACTTCGGCTGCAAACTTGAAACGGAACAGAGTATAGTAAGAGACACACTGAACCTGATTTGACCAAATTTGCACCTAATCTGCACCAAATGTGCACCAGATGTGTACCAGATGGCCGTCGTGAAAACGGCTATTGTCTACCGGCCTGTTCGATTTATAGCATGAAATCGGCCCTTCGATTTACATCGCATCATGACAACATGAACTTGATGGCCTGTCCGCGTTGCAGGTCGATGCCGATGGCTGTGTCCGGATTCGTGGTGGGTCTCCTGATCGTGTCCACCTCGGCCGTGTTCCCGGTGGTGGTGTCACGCCACGCGCATCTCCGCACCGCCACCAACTACCACATCAGCGTGCTGTGCGTCTCTGACTGCGTGGTCGGCCTCACCCTAGTGCTCTACCCGACGGTGCGCATCCTGTGGCCCGAGCTGGGCCTCTCCGCCGGCCTGTGCGTCACCGTGCTCTCCATCAGCTCTGTGTGCTTCACCGTGTCCAACGGCGTCATGTTCTGGCTGGCGCTGGACCGGCGCACGGCCATCCACCATCCGCTGGTGTACCCGCTGTTGGTGACGGCCTCCACCGTGCGCTGGGAGCTGCTGCTCACCGGGCCGCCGGCCCTGCTGCTCGTCGTTTTCACCCTGGCTACGCGCCAGCTGAGCGAGCCACCGCTGCCGGACATCATCCCCAAATGTTTCACGGCCTGGCACCTGGTGGTTGGAGACGGCGCGTTCTTGCTGAACGGCGTCAACCTGCTGGTGATCGGCGCCACGCTGGCGCTCAGCGTGGACGTGCTGCTGGAGGCGCGCCGGGTGCTGCGCGCCGCCGTCGTCCCGCTGCCGCACCAGATGGCTGAACGGGTCCGCCTGCGCCAGCACGTGCGCACCTTCTACTACTTGCTGCGTGTGCTGGTGCTGTACGGCGTCTGTCTGATCCCGTACAGTGTGTATGCGCTGGTGATGGCGTGGTGGGATGTGCCCCTCAGCACCGACCGCTCGGAAAGGCTGTGGAACGCCTTCATGGTTCTGCGGGCCGTTTTCAACCTGGCCGACTCCTGGGTCTATTGCAGCAACCCTGAGCTGCGTCAGGCCATCCTGCACCTCTGCTGCCGCTCTCAGTTCGGCCTCTACCCGTAACTGAAGCGTTTAGGATGGAGGCTGGTGGCAGAGCCGCGCAGCCTGGCGACGAACGATAGCGGCGAGCGCCACAGCTCGTTTTTTTTTTAAGGTAGTGTGCCACCTTTGAAAGATTTCCCATTTTATTTTTCCTAGGATAAGAAGCTTCTGTTTTTACCTAATATCGCAAAAAAAAAATCAAAAATGGGCCTGGAATAGTGCCTTTTTCGCCTAAAAGTTTTTCGGTTTTTAGATATGTATAACAACTGTAGTGGGCTCACCTGCAAACAGGCGTCGGGCAACAATCGCGAATGCGGCGCACTTGTGACAATAAGCAAAGGTCATTATAGTGTTACGACCATACGACGTACGGGAATGAGTTATCAGCTGTCTAATCGTAGACAACACAATGTCGAGCCTTAACCCGCGCCCTGCTGGGGGGGGGGGGGGTGTTTGAACACCCCCCCTTGTGGTTTTTCGCGAATATCTCAAAAACGGCGGCGCGGAGCGCCGCCGTTTTTGGTACACCTTATCATACATCAATTCTACACATGTTGTGAAAATTTCAGACCAAGGTCATTCAAGGTCAGGTCACCAGGTCACTTGAAGTGACCTCACCTCATAAAAAGTTTCAATGTCTGTCATAGCTACACCGAGTGACCGATCGCTTTGAAACTTTCAGCGATTGCTAAGAGCAATAGCATGTACAAAATGTATATCTCAGAATTTTGATATCGATGACCTAAGGTCAGGTCAATTTTGCGACCTCCCCATTATAAGTCAATGGGAGAAAATTGAAATGCGCCTCTTTTGGATGAAAGACATTATATACACTCCCAAACACCGAATTACAAGTGGTGTAGACACACTGAACTTGAAAATGGTGTCCGTGACCCTTGTTTATGCCCTGAGGTCATCTTAGGTCACGAATGGTATCTAACAGTTTTTCGCAAATAACTTTTGATAGAGGCATGCTAGAGCGATGAAAACGCCTTAGATGTGTTCAGCTCGACGATACGGATCGACTGATATGCAACATGACCCTTCCCGGTCAGGTCATGACCTTGACCTGAGGTCAAATTTTCAAGTTGACCTTTCAAGGTCAAGTTATAGTTCATTCGATGCGTCTTGACGAGAGGAACACGATGCCGGTAAAAGTAAGCTCGTACAAGGCTTGGGTCAAAAGTTATTGCCGAAAAATTGTTTTCGAAAAAATCGGCTATTTTTGCAGTTTTTGCCCCCTGCAGGCAAAACCGTTGACGTTAGGTCAAATCTGAGAGAATTACTCAGAAAGGGCGTTAATAGGGCTATCGAATGTGCTTTTCCGCGGTGCTGTAGCTCTATTGGTTCCCGAGTTATGCGTTGGCTTCTTGGAAATTTTCGACATTCGACCTGGAAATCGGCGAAATTTTGCCTTCAATGACCTCTGGTGACCTGACCTTTGACCTGACCAAAAAATTGACCGAAGTGATTTCGTCATTATTTTTGACGCTCTTTCGAACGCCGCCTTCTGCGTATCGCTACGTGGCCCAGGAGCCGAGTTACAAGGGGGGGTGTTCAAACACCCCCCCCCCCCCCCAGCAGGGCGTGGAAATCCAGGACCCCCAGCAGGGCGCGGGTTAAACTGTAAGCCCGTATTGTATTGTTTCTTTTATTTGGCTGTCGAACATTATTTATGGTTTGAAATATGATTTTATGTAAAATAATTGATATGAAAAAGCCGTCTTATAAGTTATGACCCCATTTCACCACACGCAAGTGGCAGAAATGACAATGATCAGCTGACGCATTTTTCTTGGCCGAAGTCAGAGCGCGCGGCCCGACGCACCACGCGTATTTGGAAATTCCGACCTCGACGAGCATCAGAAGCCACCTAACAGGCGTGTTCGAAACCGCAGGAGATGATGATGAACGGGTTTATCGAAACTTGATTGGATGAGCATATCGGTAATAGCGATTTCAGTGTGTGCATTTATTGTTCATAGTGGTGTGAAATGTGGTTGGGGTACGACCGACAACCCGTCGGGGCGAATTTCGCACTGGGGTACTCAAAATTTGAAGAATTTAAGACGTTTCCATGAGTTTTGAAGGTATGGATAAGTTCTAAAAATCCGGTTCTCCTTATCTGGGCCATTAACTCCATACGGTCCAAGAAAGCTGGCACACTACCTTTAAGCGGTTTGACCCAAAGCTCATTATCGAAACTCTCACGAGAGTTTTGGCAACTTCAGCGTCTGGCCAAGAGTTTCTTGCCGCTAAAATATTCAATTTCAAATTGTGCTCGGTAAATACATAAAAATTGTGTCTTCAAAAATGAGTTTAGGGGAGAGTGGGGCTATGCGTTGCACTTTTTGGTCTTCTGCACTTAGTGGCCAAGCTATTCAATGAAATTGCACCAAATTTGGTCACATGCTAGCTGAATCAATTTGGAAAGCACATGCAAGCTTTCACTTCTTTGCGACTATTCACTTTTATGTGAAATTCAGAAACCAAAGCAAGATTTTTGGGGTAAGTTGAAAAATTGTGGGGCAACTTGATACACGATATGGGATAACATGTTACACTTCTTTTTTCGTAGTTTCTTCATCATTAGGTATAACTGTCATTGGCCGTCCTATCGGAACCGATCGTAACCCTCCCTAATGGATATTACTAAACATGCTATCCTTTCTCGAATTGAAAGGCAAGAACAATAAAGCATAAACCATTAAAGGAAGGGTGCCACCTTCCGAAATTTTTGTTCTATGAATCTATTTTACTAATTTGAATTTTTAGACGTGGTTAGCGCGTCCACAATATACAAAAAACCGAAACATTGCATTTAATACATTGGCCAAAAAAAAAGATCGTTGTTTATATCACCACTACAACTCAAGGTCGTTTGATGTGGCAGCTAGGACGGCTGGCATATCCTGTTGTCATGGCAACATATCATTCTGCCATTTGCATTGATGGCGTAACTGAGACAAAAAGATGAACAAATAAAAAGGAAGAAGATAACATGATTTGAACTAAGTTGTAGGTAACCAAGTAGGTAACTGTTGGCCATATTTGCCACCCATCAAATAAGTCGAGTAAAGGTTTTTCCTTTACAATGCTTAAGAGATCTATGGAACCCTTCACCCTTCATGCAACTTACTAGAAAAACTTCCCAATTACAATTTTCAAACTTAAGTGTATACCATAAAGAAAAAATATACGGTTACGGTTAGTTTTATTCCGGTTTTAGTGCAATTAGTTGTCTTATTTTATCTGCCAGTGCCTATTGCCTTCTTGCATTTTACTGTATTGTGCATGACGCTGAATCCTGAAAAACCATGTTATGTGGATGGATTTTAGATCAATACATACATACATACATACATACATACATATACCCTTTCAAAATGATAAAACATGCTTCAAAAGTATAACTTTTATACATACCTTTGCTGATTTCATGTTTTATAAAATACCCTTAACACGACGAGGAAATAGTGCTGAAGATTTTTGCCTGCCAGAATGCTGGCAGCAAAACTCGCAAATGATAACTTCACGTGCGGATTCAATGCTGACCGTCTCGAGCATAGGTAAGTGAAGCCGGTTTTTAGGTTCATGTGAGGCTAATCTTGTAAAAACTGCGTTGTGTCCAAAAGGTGGCACCCTTCCTTTAAACATGCCCCGGCCCTGCGGCGGCCGACTTTCACAAGACTGAACTCAAATGTTTGTTTACATGAAGAGGCTAGTGCGTTTTACTTGGTGATCTTACAAAAGAAATCATCGCTTAATTTTGTGAACATACATCCAACATTCTTACACAAATAACCTTGACAAAAAAGAACCCAAAGTGTTGGCCAGCAAAAAATACTTTTGCTGTCACAACTTACCCCATTGCGCCGACAGGGCGACATGGAGTTCCACCAGGTCTGAGCCTGCAGTGACATGTAAAATGTGCGTAACCTTTCTGCTAGCGTAAATATTGGCGCCATATCCAAGAGTATTTTTAAATATGTTTCCTTTGTAATGTGGCGCGCTAGCGCCGGTAATTTAGCTGCGGCGTGTCCGCCCAGCCCGGCCGCCCTTTGCGCCGCCAATCGCCGCCTCGCGCAGTGTTTACTATTTTATCATGAACGTTTGTTTTCCTGCTTTATATTATTGTAAATTCGTTATTATCGTCACTTCTGTTTTATAGTTTTCAACCGTATTTAATATTTGTCCTTGCTTTAATTTGTTGTAATTTCTAGATTGACTTTTCGCCGTTTCTATATGCTCGATTCGTTTTTGATTATGTAAAAAAGTGTTTTAATTTTTGGCTGTGTAGTTCCGCCCCCGTTTACTTCCTGTTCGTTTTGATCTCTATGGCTTTTGGCACGTGCTCTCAGTTAAAATATAAATTTAGTATCGTACGCGGAGTGTCAGAGAGGCTGAGTATTTCGACGAGTTCCTAGTTTTATTTCTCACGTTTTTCTCCCAGTTTCAACCCATATCTAACCATCGTTTCACTGTTTATTTCGTTCTTTCATTGTGGGTAATTTCCTTTCTTCCGAACACGCACCTATTTAACCTGAGACCCACATTCTGGTGACCCCGACGTGATTTGAAGTGATGAGTTTAACCTGTTGATATATCCTGTGCTTTTGTTGCCATTTTTTTGTGCTTTTTGTTGCTAACCTTGACCTTGCCTACCTACTCGTCATGCCTCACTCTGATGATGTGCTTGTGGCTGAGTCCCTGGCCCTGCCTTCTGCTGTTGGTGCTGTTTTCGCACCCGTGTGCAGCCTGACAAACCAGCTGTCTCGCACTTCCGCTGAGCAGCCTCCCGCCGTCAACCAGCACCAGCAGCAGGACGAGGCGACCAGCAACAAGCCGACACGACCCTGCTGCACAGGATGACGACCCTGCCGCGCAGGACGCAGCCGCCCCTCCTGGGGCCTCTGTCAAGCCGCACCTGGCAGGAGCTCCGCTGGCTGACTAGACAAGGTGCGCTCCTGGTCAACCAGTCCTGACCAGCCACCTCCAGTCCAGGCTCTCCTGTGCCAGCGACCCCTCCATCTTGGAGCAGTTCCAGCCTGGGGAGACCTGCGACGCCTGCCCAATGCTTGCCAGCCACCACATCGACACCGGCAGCTCGCCTCCAACGTGCCAGCCCAAGATGACTGCCGCCTGTACCAACCAGGCCCATGTCGTCCCCTATCTCTCTGCGTGTCCACTAACACGAATGACGTCACGCATGTGGGCGGAGCTATGGGCGGAGCCTAACGCACGCGGCAGTCCAAGCCGCCATATTTGAATTTTTATTTTAATAGAATCTTGCCGATATTTTGGGTGAAGTCAATTTATATGGATAGCTTGGTGACAGTTTAGCTATACGAATAATAATTTATTATGGATGTGCGTATATTCAGCTTGGAATTGCAATTAAAGTTCCGCACCGCATAGATTCGAACTCGGGACCTTTGGAATACTGCGCGGGCACGCTAACCACTACACTACCGCGACCGCGCGGCGGCCGGCGGCAGGGAGGCTGCGGAGACATGGGGGGACATTTTACGCTTTTGTGAAAAAAGCAAAAGATTTAGCGAAAAACACGTAATAGATAACTTGCAGAAAATTGTCTGCTCTTTTAGGTAAGATACTTAAGTTTGATATATCTTGTGCAGACTTCATTCTACAGTGCTTCGAAAATCGCTCATTTACATGGGGATTGAACGGGGCTTCGAGACTTGACTCCAAATGACGTCACGAGCTGACGTCACGGAAAGGTAGAATCGCCGGACGACCCTACCTGGTATATAGGGCCTTGGTACCAACTCTACAACACACCTGCAAACGACACTACCTGGACTCGGTGCTGCCCGCACCGACCCGGACCGACGAGCTGCTGGTCACCGCGCCGCCACCGGACGCCGAGCCGCTCGCCGTCGAGCCTCTCGCCGCCGTGCTACACCCGGCGGCCGGGTCCCTGGCGACCGCCGCCACCGGACGCCGATCCGCTCGCCGTCGCGCCGCTCCCGGCCGCCGGGTCACTGGTGACCACCGCGCAGGCCCCCTTTTGTGAATTGTAATGTGATGTGATGCGCTCCGCGACTAAGAGGGGGAGCAGTGTGGCGCGCTAGCGCCGGTAATTTAGCTGCGGCGTGTCCGCCCAGCCCGGCCGCCCTTTGCGCCGCCAATCGCCGCCTCGCGCAGTGTTTACTATTTTATCATGAACGTTTGTTTTCCTGCTTTATATTATTGTAAATTCGTTATTATCGTCACTTCTGTTTTATAGTTTTCAACCGTATTTAATATTTGTCAGCTTGCTTTAATTTGTTGTAATTTCTAGATTGACTTTTCGCCGTTTCTATATGCTCGATTCGTTTTTGATTATGTAAAAAAGTGTTTTAATTTTTGGCTGTGTAGTTCCGCCCCCGTTTACTTCCTGTTCGTTTTGATCTCTATGGCTTTTGGCACGTGCTCTCAGTTAAAATATAAATTTAGTATCGTACGCGGAGTGTCAGAGAGGCTGAGTATTTCGACGAGTTCCTAGTTTTATTTCTCACGTTTTTCTCCCAGTTTCAACCCATATCTAACCATCGTTTCACTGTTTATTTCGTTCTTTCATTGTGGGTAATTTCCTTTCTTCCGAACACGCACCTATTTAACCTGAGACCCACAGTAACAACTTACCCCTGTAACAGAATAGCCCCACTCTCCCCTACTATGATGACATCACGTATGGCAGCTCGCACCCGATGTCCGTACGGTGAAAGTGTCAACGAATTTTAGGAAAAAAAAACTTCGTTTTTCACTGTTACCGCGGTCAGAATCAAGTAAGCGGTTCTGTCCATGGTAGTTATACATTACATTGCACTGCAAGTTCCACAGCATGACATCAGCACCGTTTCTATGTCCAGTTCCAAAAAGCACGCATGGAATTTATCGGGAATTAATCACATGTTAGAACTAAGCGATATTCGATTTTCTCAGGTTCAGTTTTTGTCCCTTTTGCTCGCTAAAACGAGCGCTAAGCCGAAAAAACGTACTTGGAGCAAAACCGGTTTTGAAAGAAAACGAACTATAGTAGACACCACCATACCCCGCAATGAAGCAATGCGGGACTAGTGGCGGATCTAACTAAGGGGAGGGCAAATAGGGCCTCTCCCAAACGGCAAAATTTTAACCCTCGCCCGTAAACGGCGATCTGCCACCTTCGCCCATGCAGGGGGGGGGTTGGTGCGACCCCCCCTTAGCGTTTGAAAACGGAGCGTCGTAGAGCTTAGCGGAAAAGACCAACGGATTGCTCTCGCCGAGATCTCGCGATTGGTGGTATATTTTTTGGTCCTAGGTCAACATTTGACCTACTTTTGACCGGTCAAAGGTCAAATTTTCGGAAAAATAGACTTTTTTCAACTTTCCGCGGCGATTGCGGCAAAACGGTAAGAGCTATCGACTTGAAACCTTCACTATCGTGTTCCTTGATCAATTCTCTATCGTTTGGTATGTATTTCGTTTCCCTAGCTCTAAAAATGGCGCGTTGGGAGCGCCGGAAGTCGGCAAGGTCACAGTCGGCGGCAGAAATTCGAAAAATCAAAATTTAAATTTTTGAAATCTGATTGTATTTTTGGATTTGGAAGGTCCATTTGCTCCCTATAGAAGCTAATATTGCTGCATATTCCCATTGAGGTGACAAGAATTAGCAAAATAGTGGTTCGGGCGCTTTTCAAAAATAGTACCGGACGCTGTTCCTCTTGTGACGTCATAGCTCCGT